ATCTCTTATTTCTTCTTTTTCTTTTCTTTTCCTTCCTTCCTTCCTTCCTTCCTCCTTCTTCCTTCCCCTTCCGCCTGCTCTCCCCCCTCCCTTCTTTCCACTCACGCACCGCATGATTTCTCGTGTGATTTCGGTGGTTCTCTCGGTGTCTCGGCGCGACACGATACCATGCAGCAATGATGCATAATAACAATTGGTGCGACAAGGGATAAGGAAAGAGAGATAGGGAGGCCAGCGCTCCAAAGCGATCCGACAGTGTGTTGTTGCCTCGTGTGGTGGACGTACGCCTTCGTACGTAGTACTGTGTGACCTTGAGAACCAGTGACAGTGCGTGTCTCTGACCTTGGCTCCGCCAAGCTCTCCGATGGCAGCGCGAGCACCATCGCTGCCGGACGCGACGACAGCTGATCGGCCACCGGCCAACCGTTTCGGAACGTGTGCACGAATCGGGTTGCGTCACGGTGCATAATCAAAGTGCGTGCGACCCTTTTCGAGGGGAATTGATTCTCGTGAACGTGAACTCGGTTACGTAAGCCTCAGGTCACGCGGGTTGGAATTCGGCCGATTTCAGACGAGTTCGCGTTCAGAGAACAATTATACATCTGGGTAGAGTATAATTGTTGTGTTCGTTTCGATTGGAAAATAAAAAAACGATTTATACGGTTTCTGCTCGGAAAAATTGTGAATTTGTGCGGATTTCTTTCCTTCTTTATTTCTAATGATAAATATATACGTGTGTGTTTACCGTGTAAATTTGAGCAGTTCGATGATGTGCGATTACGTGAAGTTTCGCGTGCGATTCGGGGTAAGTTCCACTGACACAGATCTCAGTGAAGGCAGAATAAACTATCGAGTTTACGTAAGACCGTGAGGCAAGGTACGTGTGTAGCGTACTGAACCGCCACCATGGCCACCGGCCGAGTGACATTTAAGCGTGGCTTTGATGACGTCGTGCATTAAATGCGCTCGAGTTACCACCGCTTGGGGGTGCAACAATTTTTCATTAAGTCTTCCTTCCTTCTTTTTCCTTTCGAACAGAAAATCCCTTTCTATTCGTTGCTATATATCTTATTCGTATTCGAGATCAATTAAATATACAACATTTTCCACATCAAACTTCCGAGTTTTTTGTTATTTTACTTACGAATTATTTTCGAATCGAGGAAATGCATTATATATAATGGAAAATCTTCCTCGAGTTGGCAACGATTCGTGTATCGATTACGAAGATCGTCTCGCGGCATGGAGAAACGAAATTTCGCGCAGCGAGAGTGCACTCGAGTCGCAGCTCTCCATCCACGAAGAGGTTAAAGACGAAAGTCGGAGACAAGGTCAACGGCAGACGGTTAAAAGATCTCCTTATTTTCGCGTTTTCTCCTCTCGATTAATTCTTTCGAATCCAATCCAGGCCTTCGCCTGGACCTTCGGTTAATCCTAATCGCGTTGTCATCCGGTATAAGTGATTCACGCCACGTTTTCATCCCCTCCCCTCGGGGGTTGTTCTGCGCCGCGAACAAGTTTTTCGATGGAGACCACCCCAGTGGAATGTTCCAAGTTGCCTTGAGGGATCCCTTGTTCTCCAGCGGAAATTGTACATCTTGTTGCAACATTCAGGACGATTATTAATATAAAATAGATCACGGAAATAAAGGTAATCGATCCGTGGGATGGATTATTTTTCAAAGATTTTTTTAAAGAACGTCGTTGCTTAGATCTAAAATGGTAATGGTGGTAACTCGAGGATTCTTCATAACTGTGGTGGTTTCGTGGTTTTTAATTAATGTTACGAAATAAAATGTGTGTATGTCCGTAGGAAACGGAGAAACGGAACAATACACTCTTTTCTTCTCGTCTGAAAAGCGTAATTAATAAACGTCTTTCAATTGTTTGAATGTTGCTTCTGTTTTCATCTTTTCGCGAAAGATATCAGAAATAACGAAATAATTAATAGATGGTCGTGAAGAGAGATTGAAAATTATGTCTATCAAGTAATTCGAACATCCGATTTTCTCTGATTATTTCAATCAACGTGCAACTGATATTTTCTGCGAATATTATTATACCGCCTCACTACTTCACGATATAAAATTTCATCCTTACGTAATACACGCTCCTCCTATTAGCCAATCGATTACAATATCCGACGTTAAATTTATTTCAATGTGTGAACGACACACACGATGATTTTGTTATACATTCAACATAAATTGCAACATAAATTCGTATTTTTCATAAATATCAATTAGGTTTGTTAGGCCAGGTTAATTTTATTAAACAAGATATATTTCTGTTTGGAATAAAGAATTAGATGGCTACACTTTTCCGAAAATTGCAAATGGTTCGGAAAGGACGTTAAATTCAGGTATCGATGTGTATAAAGGATATTTCCACGAGAGATTGAAGTTATCGTTTGGTCGGAATTCCGCAATTAACGGGGAGAAAAGGGAATGATGGAAATAGTGGGCGGTGTAGAAATACGGCGTGACCCGAACTGTCAGCTACAAAGCGGCCAACCGTTTGGAAGGAGTAACTACGTTATTGCACGACGATGTATCTCGATAACAGCAATTAGAACGTTAATGGTTGTTGTTTAGCGGCCTGCCCATTCCTCGTAAAGAGTTGAGTTTTTCCAATCCGATCGGAATTTTGGGGATGAATCCATTCGAAGATACGCGACAAATTATGAAAAGTAAAGAGAGAGTAAAAAATAAATAATTTAGTTTCTCGATTCGACGTGTGCCACTCGTCGTGTGCCACTTTCAATCAAGCTAATCGAATCGAAGTCGAGTTTCCTTGTCTTCCTTGTTTTAGAAGAGGAGCAGGGGGACGAAGACACGGAGGATGAGCATCGAGGAGAAAAATTCGAGGAGAAAATTGATAGAAACGGGGGCCACGAAGGCTTGCCGGTCGAGCGAAGTCGTGCATTAACAATATGGACACCGATATATCGAGAACAGACGCGCCAACACGAATTGTCAGATATTCGCAGAGCATGAAGAGGAGAAGATTCGCCTGACTTCTTAGATACGTTCGGTGCCAGTTTGGAGAATGGAGGAGTCCTCACCAAGGATTCGTCCCTATCTGGATTGCTGGGACGTGAGTAAATTTATTAAAAAAGAAAATTAATTACACGCGCGATTAAATCTAATTAAAAAGATCGTTTGAATCGCTTAATTTTTTTTTTTTTTTTTTTGTTATGTTATTTTCCTTCCTTCATTCCTTTTCTTCTTTTGTTCTGCATTAAGAATTCGTTCGGAAAATAAGTCATCAAATATGATGAGCTTCGTGAAGCTGGAATTTTTTGCATTATTGTTGATTATTAAAAAAAATTATTATTACGCACAGAGACACGATGATTCTCATTGTCAGATAAGATCCTTGTGCACTTGTATCACCAATTCAATCACATTTTCCAATTTTATTAACCCTTTATTATTGTATAATATTTATAAATAACTTTGCTCGTATAGAATAAAAAAAATCGATGATCCTTATATCCAATCCTTCAAGACACGAAATTAAGAAATTAACTCTTTTCACTTACTTTTGTAAAGTGAAGAAAATATCATTCTGATAGATTCCTATAGAATATGACAATGTAATTACATTGAAATGAATAAATTTTAAAAAGTTTAAGAAAAAATTATAAAAATAATATCTAGTTTACGCCATTTTTTTTTCTAATATCGTTCGAACAATTTATTTGCAACAATTTATTCTATCCCCCATTAAAAGTGAAATGAATCGAGATTATCACTCTGATACGGAATATAGTGATTATATTAGAATAAACAAACAGCACAGGAATTGTACAAAAATTGTATCAATCACTATTTTTCCTTCGAGAATATTTTTTAATCCCTTTCATAGTCTCTGACCTACAGGTTGAGAATCACTGCTCTAGAAATGACCGAAATATACATATTTGGACAAATAGGTGGGAAAAAGTAGTGAAGGTTAAATGACGATCAAGAAATAGAAGAGAGAAAAAGTGACGGTTCCAAATATTCGGCGAGGAATGCAGTTGTAGAGACTTTTTCCCCGATTTAAACTCGAATTATGGAAATTGCGCGCGCGCACACCGAGAAACTAGGAAGCTTTCTCGCTTTTACGAATCGTTCAGGACGCTTTGGGCTAAACCCTTCTTCTACATGACACTTACACAATCTCACAAAAACCATTGTTCTCTCGGTTCGTCGCTTTGAATTTGCATCGTTTTCCAGACACCTGTAAGTTTACCGTTGGATTGCTCTTCTTTGTATTTGTCTTCTCTCGTGAATCTGTGAGTGTATTCTTCGTTGTAATTATGTGGATCAAGTATGCATTAATTTTTCAAAGGGGTAATTTTTAATTATTTGTTTAGTAGTACGCGATTTATGAACATGAATGTAGTTAGAATGTTGTTTCATTAAAAATTCATACAATTATGGTGGTACTTTTAAAGAAATTTAATTGAAGAAATGTTTCAAATAAAAATTGAATGGTTTCGAGAAGAGTGTATTTTGATATGAAAGTAGTGATGGAACGACAGTTTTGTTTCTTATAAAAAAATATCTAGAAAATGGATCATTAGTAGAACAAATGTTTTAACTTGAATCATATAATATTATATAAAAGATAGATTCATTCATGTTTTTCTAGTTTTTTAATTAACATCAATTTTTTTTTTTTTTTGCGAAATTAAAAAATATCCCTTGAATTATTCGATATAACGAAATATATAATTCTATTTAAGAATCGAATGTAGAATATGAGTGAAAACATTCATTTTTTTATTTGAAATATTTCTTAATATTATCGAAAACGAAAGAGATATTTTAAATGATCAAACGAATAATAAATTTGACACTTTTATAAGTTTTCTATCATTATTTTTCTCTTTCTTTTTAATTTTCTTAAGCGGTTATAAATTTTCTTTTATTTTTTTCTTCAATTGCAATTTTTCTTCCCATTAAAAATATAAAAGGAAAATTTTCAACAATCTCTCATTAACATTGAATCGATATATATATATATATATGTTTCTTTTAGCATTCGTTATTCCATTGTTACTAACTGCCTGTAATTAAACTGGTAATTTGCGTTACTAGATATCTTACTAATTGCAAGAGTCATTAACTATTAGGTGTTAATTTTCTCGAATACGATTTCTAATTAGAAAAGGAAAATTTTACAATTTTCCTAATTCGAAAATTCTTAATTCTAATTCATCAAAAACAATTAAGTACATTATGTGATAAAATTCGTTTTACACAAACTTAAAAACAACTTTTAAGAATTGCATTTTATTTAAAGATCGATTTAATAATAATATAAATTGGAAGGATAATATAAACAACTTGTATAATTGCATTGAAATTGGGAAAAACATTAATAAGAAATTCATAACGTAATAAATTTTAAGTTATAAATTATTTCAGCTCAGTAATGTCACAAAAATGAGTATCATTTCAAAATGAAATGAAACGATCTGAATAAACGACCTGAAATAAAAATATATTTCCCTATTTCATATATAAAACAAGTTTTATTATAATTTTTCATTACAATATTCATACAACATTCCTGTTTATAGCTAGTACCATTTTCCATATTGACTCTTAGAATATTTTATCATTATTTTATCACCAGAAAGATATGGAGATAGAGAGAGAGAGAGAGAGAGAGAGAGAGAGAGAGAGAGAGAGAGAGAGAGAGAGAGAGAGAGAGAGAGAGAGAGAGAGAGAGAGAGAGAGAGAGA